TAGGGCCCTAAACCCTATAATGGGTACCCTATTATCCCCAAATAAGATACTACTCAATTTGAGGCTGGAACTGGTCGTAGGTGCCGGAGTCCTGGCTCAACAGTGGCATGGCTCGAAGTGTTCCCTGCCCTGGGTAAGACCCTGGGATATTTAATATTTTGCCTAACGGCTTTTTTCAGGGACCCTATATACTAACATTTTTCAAAGGGCTTTGGGGGCCAACCCAGTGCTTCCTTGGCAACAAACCCTGACCAAAACCCTAAACCCTAAACCCCTAAACCCTAAACCCTAAACCCAAAATGACAAAGTCCATGCCGGCATGACGTGCCACGCGAGGCGCACCATAATCCTGAGTGGGGAAGCTGGCTCTATCCGTGAAAGCTCCCTTCCCCGGTTAAGGTTTAGGGTTTAGGGTTTAGGGTTTAGGGTTTAGGGTTTAGGGTTTAGCAGCTATTTCAAGTCGTTGAGACCTTTGCAAATGTTACAAAGCTGGGTTGGCCCCTAAAACCCTTTGAAAAATAGTAGTATATAGGGTCCCTTATTAAAGCCAGTAGGGAAAATATTAAAATATCCCAGGGGCCTATCCCGTCTCAGACTTCTTATATTGCACCAACGCTTGTGTCAAGGATCGGATGGCAGTTCTTGCTGTCGATGAACTTCTTGAGCTCCTGTACTGACCCCGTCGCAACTTGGTAGTTTCCCTAAATAAGGGGACCCCAATATAGACCCAAAATACTATAATCCTTACTATGGGGACCCCCGAAATGCTACCTGTAATTTTGGGAATCCCCCACTTGGAAATACAGGCAAAACGAACCCGAGCTTTTGAGAAAACGGGAATCTCAACAAGTTGTCTGACGTCAGCATCTCCGAACCAGTGGTGGTGCTGCTGTCATGACGCACATCTTCCAAAGTGATGTAAGATACAGACTCTCATAGTGTTCGCAAGTTGTACCAGTTGTGTTTTCAGCATTGCCCCACGAGCGCTGATGTTCACACACCACAAGTTTTGTGGTACGCTAACTCCTAACTTCCTCCAAACACTGTAGTTTCCCTTAAGTAGATAGAATATGGCTTTGGGTACATTATAATAAGATCCCACTATACCCCATAGTCTATCTACTTCAGGAGACCGTATCTGATATCTGAAGCCCCAGAAAAATCAAAAGTGCTGGGCAGCATGGCACTGTCCACAAGTCAAAGGATTCTAAAAGGTCCAGCCTAGAAAACACTCTGTACTGGTTTAGGGGTTAGGGCTTAGGGTTAAGGGACTACCGACACATGACCACTTAGGGAGCACTGCAAAATGCTGATGTTTCTTACCGCAATAGATTCGCCCCCCATATACCATAGGCCTGAGAAATGCCAGGAACCCCCAAAGGGGCCACACCCTAAACCCAAAAGATCCTTGTGTGAGTTTCTATTGTCTGCTTGCATTGACCAAACCGTTCCTTGCAAAACATCATCATCATCATCAACACCATGATGATAGGCATTATCTCCGCACGGCCCAAGGGGTCCGCGACATTAGAGTCGCCTGCCATAGGCGTGGGATAAGTGAGAAAGAGACTTGTGTCCCGTGCTGCAAGCCAGGGTTCAACCCGAAACCCTAAACCAAACCCTACACCCTGTTGTTGGGTCTTAGCCGTTTACACCCTAAACCCTTCTCCAGCCCGCACGGGACTCCTAAGAACTCCCTTTCAAAGAAGCCCCATAGCGTTTCTAGATTTTCTGTTTAAACCTGTGCTCTCCCCATAAAAACCTACGTAATCCCCACTCAGAAGGGAAACCCTATAAAACCCACTATAATAGTTTCCATTTTCTGTTCCATTATCCCAATATAAACCCCGTATAACCCCTATACGACCCTATAATATGGGAGTTTCCTTAAATTAATTCTTAGAAGGGCCCCCCCATGTTTGGGGATCCCCAGGTTTTCCGCGTGCCTCTTTGCAGGCCCTAAGCTGGGTCACCTTCTTGCTGGCAAGCCTGGGATTAGGGTTTAAGCGTTAAGGGCTTAGGTTTTAAGATTTGTTGGGTTGAGGATCTAGGTCTGGTAAGGGGAAGTTTAGGGTAGTTTAGAGTAGCTTAGGTTTGAAGTCTTTAGAGTTGAGGGCTTGTGACTTCGAGTCCAGGAGTTTAAAGGTCTTGGCTGCCAAGACCAATGGGTTTAGGGTTCAGGGCATGTTAACGGTAGTGCAATCTGCCGTTGGAACCCATATTCTCTACATCCTGGAGTCCCGGAGGCTTTCAAATGCTGCTCCGGCTTCGGGTCCTTCACAATGCGGAAACCTGATCTGCAGGTTAGTCAAAACAAGAACCGTAACTTGGAATTCCGGGTGCCTTGCCTCCAAAAATGACATGCCTGTGACTGCCCGCAACACGAGCAAAGCTAGGAGCCTCTCCAAAAAGGAAATCGCAACGGAGATGCGGAAACACCCATGTCCTTTTGAAAATGATAGGCAGGACCCTGCACCTACATCCCTTTATAGGAGCACTTGAAAGGAGGAGTTCCACTACGCAATCTGTAGATTCTTGTTGAGGACGCATTAAAGCGGGCAACACCATTTTGAAAAAAATCGAACTATTTTCAAATCATCTTCCGCGGATCCACGGAGCTTAGGGAATGTAACCACACCTACCTATTACCGCCCCGAGGGTTCCCCCTTAATCGAACCTGTTTAGGATAATTCAGTTCAATCACGGAGAACCTTGCGGGGGAAATGGGAAGAGTAGTAGAGCCCATATGGATTGGGCTCTTCTTCTTACCAGAAAAAAAAGCTGCGAGAAACAACCATCCCAATACAGACATTGTTGTAGGCACCCGAAGAAAAGGGACCCCTAATTTTTCGAACATCCAAACCCCAATAAATCGTTGATGTTCCTCTCTATCCCTACATACCCTCGTACATAATACATCTCTAACTACCCTATCACCCCCGTATATCTCCTACATAACCCTCTATACACTAAACCCTAGAATCCTAAAACATATAACCCCTCAACCTATAACCCCTTAACCTATGACCCCTTTGGAAAAAATTGTCCAGCCAAGGCAGGAACATGCCAAAGCAGCCATCGGAGCAGGCATTTCCCATGACAGCCTCGCTTTGGCGCTTGCTTGGAGGGTCAGGGGGACTTAGTGAGTAGGATTTAGGGTGTTCCTATAGGGGTTATGGGGGTTATAGTTATACGTACGCTTACTAAATCCCCCTGCCCCTCCAAGTAGCGTCTTGGGAGATGGGGTGTGGGGTTTGCGGCTTTAGGGGTTTGGGGTTTAGCGGTTTGCGGTTTAGGGTTAGGGTTCCAGTCTCGATATTAGTAAACTCCTGCAAGGGGGAGGGAAGCTTTTATTATAAGCGGGAGGGAACTATGCTAGGCAGTGATAAAACCAAAACAATACAGATCCTCCGGATCGGATAAGGCACACAAAGCCACATGGGTAGTTCCCAAAGTCAGGGTCGCATTTTGGTACCCCTGGATATGCCGTGCCATAATGTAATCTATAACCAAAAGTGGTCAAGAAATTTTGAGAACAACTCACATATCCTGACAATGATCCTAAGCTGATGACCACAGTCATAGCAGCGATGAAGACAAAGCGGAAAAACAAACACGGTCTATACAGTCAATGAGAACAACTAAGGCACATGGAAGTTGTTCAAAATACCTGTCCCTAACCTTTCTGGTTCATAGTGGGGAACAAGGGAATACAATCCCAATATAATCCCTATATACTTTCTTCCCTTGCTCCCTACTAAGATGTAGGTTCCTTGTTGAGCTGGGATCCCACTTTAAGCGCGGTCTAGGGTTTTGAGGTTTAGATTTCGTTTTTCTCCCAACGGACCTTTGGCAACAACCCCTGCATGATACTGACAGCAAAACTGGCCCAAACCCATTTATCAACCCTAGACCCGCAACAAAACACTTGCGGATTACTGTAGGGTTTAGGGCTAAGGGACCACAACCTTAAACCCCAAACCCTAAACTTTGTATTTTCTGTGCATCTATGCTTGGTTAACTTTAGACCTGAAAGTTCCGTAGCAGCGACCTAGCCGTCAGTAGTACTAGAGGAACGATAGGATCATGTCAAGGCACACCTTCGCCCCCTGAATACACCCCATACTCACCCCACTATAACCCAATCGGAATTCCATACATCAGGTACTGTTTGTATGCACCGCGTATGTATATACATATATATATATATGCCCACATATATATATATATATGTACTTGTCAATATATTTCTGTATTCATGGGTAAACTTCTATACAACCTATTTGGTAATTTCCCAAAATAAGGGAACCCCAATATAGACCCCAATATACTATAATCCTTAATATGGGGACCCCCAAAATGGTACCCCTAATTTTGGGAAACTCCCATTTAAACCCTTAGCCCCAAGTCGAGCGAGCCCCAGGCCAGCACTGAGTTTGCAGTCGGAAGCACGTTGTTCGCCGGTATGCGCTTAGGATTTCGAGCCAGGAACGGCAGAGGGTTTAGGGTTTAAGGCTTAGGGCTTAGGGTTTAGGGCTTTGGGTTTAGGGCTTTGGGTTTAAGGTCTAGGGTTGAGGGTTTGGAACTTAGGGCTATATGAAGATCTATACAAGGTTATACAGGGACATATGAGCTATAGTCTAAACTCCTAGTATCCCCCCTGATAACCCCTATAGTAGTCCCCTATATAATTCCCTATATATACCCCCTTAAGGAGTTTAGACTATAGGACATATAAGGGTACCCCAACATTTGATTACAAGGGGCTCTGAGTTGGAACCTCAAGCAGGAACCTGGGGGAAGAGGGGACCTTAGAGGGACCATTATACATATATATATATGTGCATATATACATATATACATATGCATATAGATATATATATATATATGTATATACATATATGCATATATTATACATATAGGTATAGATATATACATATATATATATGTATACATATACACCTACATGTAAACATATATACACATATACATATACATAAATACATAGATATATACTGATCAGAATGTTGGTTCAAAATCCTAAATCCTAAGCCCTAAACCACAAACCCTCTAAGCTTAAACCCCTGTCCTTGTCTTTTCCGCAAACCAGACTGCTGCCTGCTTTCAAGCAACCACCTCCTCTCTGCCTCATTCGAGGCTTCTGTGCTTGCATACCAGGTCTAATCCCCTGCCCGTAACATTAAACCCTCCCGACGCCCCTACTACCAAATACTCCCAGTAAAATGTAATATAGCCCAATGGGGAATATTTTGTATGGGGGGGGGGGTGCTTAATATTGCGGGGAGGGGATTAGGCCAACCAACTTGGAAGGTCACACGACCCTCTTCCTTGGCCGTGCAGAAACCTGTTCAGCATGCTGTAATCATGAGGGCTTATCACAGCGGCGAAGTGCTCATCCGCCTGCGCATGTCAGCTGTTTCAACATTCCTTACATAGGCAGACCGAATATAGACTCCATTATACCTTAATGCTTATTGTGGGGACCCCAAACTGGTACCCGTAATTTTGGGAAACCATATCTCAAGGGAGGCAGTGCGACAATGTGAGTCCGTTTCAGCTGGCATGTGCAAAGATGGTGTCCACGGTATCAGAAACTGCTTGCATGTTTTGGCCTCCGTGCCAGCTCGTAGCTGATGTCGCTGAAGGTCAAATCCTGATGTCTGGCAACCAGCTAATTCCCTTGTTTTAAGATGGCTGTGACGCCAAAGCTTTCTGCTCATGAGGCCTAGATGTTAGGAAATGCCTCCATACCAAAGCTCCAGTGAAAGGATCCATTAACTGAAACTGACAGTTTGAATCAAATGGCCGGTAACAACAACACCGACCCCAACAAGCAAGAATTGCACATCAGAGATAAGTCCACATCCTGCAGCTTACTGGTGGCTAGTAGGGAATGAGGGAATAAGATCCCTATATANNCCCTTATTCCCTACTAAGCCCAGTAGGGTAGACATCCCCCTCTTTTTGCTCAAGCTGCTTTAGCTCCAGTCTGAAACTCGAGGAACTATTTGGACATTCTGCGATGCCTCCCAGCGCTGGGAGTCATGTCTGCAGCTCACAGGAAGACTTCAGAAACCTAGAACTTCCACAGGCCAAGGGCATAGGTTATCACGGCCAGGGGGAAGGCCAGCACCACCACCTGACTGGCCCCAGGTGCTTGGGGGGGGTTTAGGGTTTAGG